ATCGGTAATCTGGATAAGGCATCAGCATTTGAATGTTGTTTCCCTTGACGATGTACAATTGTAAATACAAAAGGTGCAAGTTGTTGTAACCAACGACATATTTGCCCATCTGGTTCCTTAAATTTATGAAGCCACGTTAACGAACCATGATCCGTTCTTAGTACAAATTCTTTTCCCAACAAATAATGTTTGTAATATTTTACAAAATAAATTACAGCAAGCATCTCTTTCCTCGTCACGCAATAGTTCTTCTCTGCTGAACTAAGAGTTCGACTTCCATAAGCAATAACTCTTTCTCTTCCATCCTGAATTTGAGATAGAACACATCCTATAGCTTCATTACTTGCATCTGTGTCCAGTATAAAAGATCCACCATTTACGTCTGGGTATCCTAATATAGGTGCTTCTTGTAGTTTTTGCTTTAGCTCACAGAAGGCTTCGTCACATTCAGTTGTCCAATTCCATTTACTATTTTTACTTGTGAGAAAATGTAAACATTTTGCAATCTTGGCAAAATCCTCAATATACTTTCGGTAATACGAAACCAATCCAAGGAAACTTCTCAATTCTGTAACATTCTTTGGTACTAATATTCTTTTAACAGCATCAATTTTAGCAGGATCTGTTTTGATTCCTACTCCAGATACAACATATCCAAGAAAAGACACTTCCTTTTTGAAAAATGAACACTTCTTTGCTTTCAACTTCAAATTCGTCTCCTCCAGTCTATCAAATACTCTCCGTAAATTCCAAAAATGCCCATCAAAATTCTTCCCATTGACAATTAATATCATCGAGATATAAGACAGCTACATTCCACTGCAATCCACCCAATTCTCTTTCAATGATTCTCTGAAATGTCGGAGGTGCTTTACAAAGTCCAGATGGCATGACAGAATACTGAAAATAAACCTCCTCGTGGTGTAGCAAATGTAGTTTTCTCTTTATCCCTCTTCAACATTGGTACTTGGTGATACGCCATGTTCAAATCTAATGATGAAAACCATTCTGATCCAGCCAATGCATCCAAATTATCATCTATCCTTGTTATCGGATATGCGTCCTTTATCGTCTTAGCACTCAATCGACGATAATCCACACAAACTCGCCAACTCTTGTCCTTTTTCTGAACCAAAACACCATGGACTGCTGGATTTCTCCACAATTCCTTGTTCAAGTCATTTCTCTATCTCCTGATCAAGAATTTCTCGCTTAAATATTGGTACTCGTCTCGGCGCCTCCTTAAATGGTGTTTCATCACTCAGATTAATCCTATGCTCTCCAATGGTTGTTCTCTGTAACACTCCATTTGGATCAGCAAACATATCCCTTCGTTCAATGAGAAACTTTTTAAATTTCTCTGATTCTTCAAAACTTAAATTCTGTCTTCCATTCTCATAAACTGGCTTCAAATGTTCTGGAATGTCTTCTTTCTCAGACTGGAAAATCTCACCTATCATAATTTCTTCATCACTAATCGGCTGACTTACAGTGTTCACTGTAATAAATAATGCTACGTCTGTACTCTTCTTCACTGTTACAGAATTGTTTCCTGGATTGTATAATCGAACATAAATCTCTGGACTATGTGAATCAACCAATGTTCTTGCCACTCCTATTCCATGCGAATTCACAAAAGTTGTTAACGGCATTGGAATTCCATTTTCTCCATTAATATTAGTAATGCTTGATCTTACTACTGCTTCATGTCTTCCAGAAATTGTAATTGAATCCAAAGTATAAATTTTCCTAGATGGATACCATTCTTCTTTAATTTCAGAATCAAAAACCATGTTTAATGCTCCTAATTGATGATTCCAATTACATTTAAATCTCAGAAAGAAATCTTCTCCCAACAAATCATGTGTAACACTCCCAACAAAAACCCTAAATTCTATACTAATATCTTGAAATGTTAGCAACATTTTAGCTGTTCCCAAGAGCATTAATTTATTTCCATCCGCAGAAAAGAATTTACTCTTCACTGGCTCTAGCACAGGTCTGTTATCTGGAGGTATATTATAGAAAGTTTCCTCTGTTATGAAAGTTTTCTTTGCTCCAGTATCCATTTTCCAAGTTATTTGTGTTCCTTGAATTAGTCCATTGACCAAAAATCCACTTTTCCCTGGAATCTGAATTTCACACGTTGTTTTCTTAAGAATATCACAATAATTACTTTCATTGAGCTTCACTTCCTTGAAATCATCTTTACATGGTTCCTAATGAGCTCTGTTATTAACTACTCGTAAATTATGGTGATTTACTCCCCCCGTATTAGGCCTATCAATATCGCAGACCGGAGCACGGCCTATTGCCTCGGTCTCCCGCTGTTTAACGATCTCTCCTCTAACTTTATGGCATCATTGATGGGTTTGTTCTCTTTACTCTGTCTGGTTTGCAGATTTCTTTTAATTGCTGGGCAGGTTCTTTGTAAATGTTGAGTAGAATTACAATTGAAGCATCTTTTTCTTGTATCTCGTCTAATGACTTCATTTTGATTTCTCTCAAAAGACTGATCACTAATCTGGTAAATCCTGGGTTTCTGAGTCCTTGGTTCTCTATTCTGTTGCTCGCTTATTCGTATACACTCTTCCTGCATTGCAGAAGTCACAGCCTCCTGTAGAGTTTTAGGTCTACTTCTCCTAACTGCTAGTCTAAAACTTTCAGATTCACTGCAGTTATCTAGAAATGTTTTCATACTGCATTCCTGTACATACTCTCGGCTCTCTGGATGTGCACGACGATACAAATCCTCAAGACTCTGAGCAAAATCTCTATAAGATTCATGTTCTTTTCTCTTTCGAAGTTTAGCTTCTGCAATACAACTTTCCTTCATTGACTTATGTCCAAATCTATAATCCATTGCCTTGACAAGTTCCTCATAACTATTTCTCTGTACATCTGATAATCCATAAGCATATGTTTCAGCTTGTCCTCTTAAGGTAGTAAATAAAATTCGTCTTCTACGATCAAAATTCCAGTTATTGAGAACAGCAACATTCTCAAAATATCTTATGAATTCCGTCCAGATTTCATTTCCATCTCCTCTGAAAGTACGCTTAACATTGACTTGATGTGTGAATTCCTGAATTGGTGTTCCAATATTGCGTTCTTTGTCATTGCCATAATTTCCTGGTGTTGTTTGATAGATATTCCATCCATTTTCTGATTTGATTGTTCCCTTAGAAACTTTAGCAATCAAACTTATGATCACTAAACACAGCGCAACAATTCCCACAGAAATAAGAAATTCCTTGGTCAAGCAAAGAAGCATGTAACCCGGAAAATAACGATATAATCCAAGAACAGAAACACATCCACAGAAAAACATTAAAATCCAAAAAAATGTAAACATATTCCATTTTGAATGTGAAGAATTGTCTTCCTGAAGTCTACCTTTTTGAACAATTTGAGGTGAATGTTCGTCCACAAATGAATCCTCCAATCTTCGCCTGACATTTGAAATTCCTGAATTTGAAAATAGTCCTGGTGTCCTTTGTTTCGGAGTTCTGTCACAATTTGTCATTTCCATATCCATTAATGAATACGAAGTTTCATCCATTTTTTTCCTCTTACATTTCACTGGTACGATGTTTTGTATATGCTTTAATCCTGCACTTACAAAACGGACATTTTAAGAACTCACTGATTTCTCCTTTTCCCGTGACAAGTGAAAAACGGTTCTCACTCACTTTAAACATACAATAACAGTTTGGACACTCCTTTTTATCGTGAATTGTAATCCTTCCAATATGCACTAAATTTCCATTGTCATCATAGTCATACACGTTTGCGAATCTGTATACATCCATAACTACGAAAAGTATATGATACACAAATCACATATAATAATCCAGTAATATGAATTAAATAAATCCAATGAAAATCAAATATTCAGAATCACAATAATCCAACACATTTGCGAATTAAGGTCCGTTTAGATCCATTTCGATTCACAATAAAATTCACAAATTATCCAAAGAATCTAATGAATCCCGACGCATGCCACCATTTGTAACGTTTCCGAGCGGTCTAAGTTAATTCCTTCTATTGTAAAAAATCCAATGGCAATATAATAATCCTTGGGTATAAAATCATATAGGTTTTTCCTCGTAATAAAACTCAATAACTGATTACAAATGTTTATTAAATCCAAAGTAAAATAGAATATAATCCAAAGAAATTAAAACAAAATAAATCCAAAATATTAATGAATGAAAGGCACTATAAAATCACTCCTATATCTAATTCTATCGCTACCTCTATATCAAAATCCCACATCAAAATCTCACTAATTATTTAATTATCCCGTTTATATACTCTATTGACTCCTCTTACTCCACTTGACTCCCCTCGATCCATTTATCTTTGTCTAGACGTAATTAATCACTAACACTCTCCTCCCACTGATTATAATCGCCTAACTTTCTCCTCCTTACTCAATTACTGCTAGCTTCCCATGACCTGTCCACAGTCTGGGTCAAACCTCCAATAAATCTATCTAAGTGACCAATGCAGTAGAATGCTACATTTAAACTAAAACTACAGAATAACATGAATAATCTAAAATAAAACAATAAAAGAAAAATAATATATCTACGCTACAAATATAACATAAAAATCTAAGATCAGGTAGACTGCCTGGTCTTCCTAATACATTCTGGGTAAGGGCATTATTCTGTCCCTTAACACTTCCCAGATTAATTATCTAAATTTCAGTAATCAGTCTCTTTGGTGGTTTTACATTCCTACCACTTCTTACAACTGGAGTTGTCTCTCGGTTATCTACGTTGTCATTATTTCCAGGAAACATCTTATTCGCAACGATCTCTGGATTGTCTTCGATTTCGATTTCTTTATCATCGAATTCTTCTTTGGTTTTCATAATGTGTCTTCTGTTCCGTCGGTAAGTTGCACCTTCTGTTGTTTTCACGTGAAACGAATTAGGTTCGACATCATGATTGTCAACTATTTTAGCAGGGTTCCATTTTCCTCCTTTTTCAAGTTGAATTCTGACGGTATCGTTTTTCTTCAGATACTCCAATGGTTTTGTATTTCTGTCGTAGTAAAACTTTTTGCTTCGAGTTTTGTATTTTTTCTCTAATTGTTTTCAGATTTACGCATTTTGGTCGAAGTTTTTTGTTTGTTGCTGGAATTGTAGATCTGAGTCTTCGATTCATCAGAAGTTGCACCGGTGATCCTACATCTTCAATTGGTGTGTTCCTGTATGCAAGCATACTTAGATACGGATCTTTGCCTTCTTTGTGTGCTTTGTTTAGCATGTTTTTTTTTGCACTTTGCACGAATCTCTCTGCAAGACCATTTGACTGTTGATAGTTTGGACTGGATTTTTGATGTGTGAATCCCCACTCTTCTGAAAATTTCTTGAATTCTGCTGATGTGTATTGTGGACCACAGTCACTCCTAACATATTGAGGAATCCCATGTCTTGCAAAAATTGATTTCAGATGATTGATGACACATGTAGCTTTTGTATTTTCAAGCTTTGCTATCTCAAAATATCTTGAGTAATAATCAACAACCATTAGATAATTGTTGTTGTTCCAGTGGAATAAATCTGTTCCTACTGCTTTCCATGGTAGGTCTGGTATTTCTGAAATCTTCATTGGCTCTTTTGTGTGCGAGTTTCTGTTTTCAAGACAAATGCTGCATTTTGAAACAACATCAGTTATTTCTGCATTTATTCCAGGCCAAAATATGAATTCTCTTGCTAGTTTCTTTGTTTTCTCGATACCTAAATGACTTTCATGTAACTTTTTGAGCATTTGGTTTCTCATTTGAGATGGTATCAAGATGTTTTCTCCTTTCAGGATAATTCCATTTATATCTGAGAGTTCGTTCCTGTATTGCCAATAAATCTGCAGGTTTTTGGAACTTCTCTTTTTTCTGTTTGCCATCCTTTTCTTATCAGCGTTGTCAGTGTTTTCATGATTTCATCATTTTCTGTTTCCTGTTTAATCTTTGACGCTTGGTCGTGGGAAACGGGCATGTTTTGAACTATCATGTTTACAAAACATTCAATTTCTTCCTCGATTATCTGACCATCAGATCTGTTAAGCGGTGCTCTTGACAGCATATCCGGTACTATTAAGTCTCTCCCTGGTTTGTAGATTAGTGTGAAATCGTATTTTTGCAGTCTGAGCAGCATTCTTTGAAGTCTTGGCGGCGAGTCTCCCAAGGATTTTCTCACAATGGACTCTAATGGTTTGTGATCTGACTCCACGATAACGTCTCGGCCATACGTGTATTGGTTAAATCTTTCTAAACCAAATAAAACTGCTAATAACTCTCTTTCAATGTTGGCATAACGAGTTTCAGCATCTGATAAAGATCTTGATGCATAAGCTATCGGTTTCCCTTCCTGTAAGAGAACTGCGCCCAACCCAGTGTTTGATGCATCACAGCTAACTGTAATTGGTTTTTTCACATCAAAGTAACTGAGAACAGGATTGCTCGTCAACACCACTTTTATTTTCTCCATTGCCAAATTTTGTTCATGTATCCACACGAATTCATTATCCTCTTTTAATAATTTTCTGATTGGATCTGTCACAGCTGACATGTTAGGAACAAATTTTGCTAGGTAATTTACAGTTCCAAGTAGCCTTTGAACTCCTTTTTTGTCTGTAGGTGATGGCAATTCAGTTATGGCTTTGATCTTTTCTTTTTCTGGCCTTACTCCCTCTGCACTGAGTAGATGTCCTATGTATGTTATTTCTTTCATCCTGAATTTGCATTTTTCTGCATTGAGTGTGAGACCTACTTCTTGACATTTGCGTAATACTTCACGCAGTCTGATATCGTTTTCTTCTTTTGTTTTTCCCCAAACCAGAATGTCATCAATGTCAGTTTCTACTCCCTCAATTCCATCAAACAGTTGTGATACTCGTTTTTGGAATACTTCTTGGGCCGAATTAATCCCAAACGGCATTCTTAGGAATGGAGAGTTGAATGTGGGAAGGAGTTGACTCTCTCTGTCTAAAGGAATTTGCCAATAGCCATGATTGCAATCAAGTTTGCTCATATATTTTGCTCCTGACATACGTGTAGTAATATCTTCTATAGTAGGAAGTTCATAATGTTCCCTTTTGATTCCACGATTTAGGGATCTTGGATCAAGGCATACTCTCAGTTTCTTTGATTTTGGTTCTTCAATCACTACCAATGAGTTGACCCAGTCTGTCGGTTCATCAACTTTCCGGATAACACCTTTTTCCTCCATTTCATCAAGAGTTGTTTTCAATCTATCACGTAAAGCTGTAGTTATCTTTCTCGGAGGATGAATGACCGGAGTTGTCGACTCGTCCAGTTTTATGTGATAGGGTTTTTTCAGAGATCCTCGTCCTGAAAATACTTTCGGAAATGCTTCAATTGGATTTTCAAATTCAGATTGAACGTTCATGACAACATGAATAAGTCCCAATTCATTTGAGGCTTTAAATCCTAACAGTGGAAACTGGTCTGTTTCTGTTACAAAGAATTCAAGTTCCTTGTTTTGTAGACGAAGTTGACATTTTCCTAACACCTTGAGTTTGTCTCCTGAGTAGCTCGTTAACGTTGTATTTGTTCTTGTGAGTTTGACATCATTCAGCTTTTTGAAGATTGAATTTGGAAGTATATTAACTTGGGATCCAGTGTCAATTTTGAACTTAATTGTCTTACCTTGAACTTTGAAACTGGTGAAGCATGAATTATCAGATATTTCAGTTTTCTTGTTGACCGCTCCAACAAAGTAGTTGTAATCCTCACATTCGGAATCACTTGATCCTTCCTGCAAATTATGCACTCTCCTTTTTGTGAATCCTTTCGATTTACAAAATTTCTGGAAGTGATTTGATTTCTTGCACTTGTAACACGTTTTTCCGTACGCTGGACAATTTCGTTTTTCATGTTTCTTTCCGCATTTTCCACAGTTGAACGTTTCTTGACTTGTTTTGTTTGGATATCCTTTTTGTCTGCTGTCAGGGTTTCTTTGTTTCACATATTTCCTTTTGAGAGCATGTACTTTTTCCTCCTCGTTGATTGTTTTGATTTGTCTTCTGGACTCTTCATCTGCTCGGCATAAACTAACTGCTTTCTCAAGACTGAGGTTGTCCTCGCGAAGAAGTCGTTCCTTCACTCTAGATGAAGATGTTCCACAGACAATTCTGTCTCTAATTAGGCCATCTTCGAGGTCTGCAAAGCCACAGTCTTTTGCAATCAGTTTCAATTCTGTGATGTACTGGTCAATGCTTTCACTTGGTCCTTGTACCCTTGTGTTGAATCTATGTCTCGCAACTGTTATGTTTGTTTTTGGGATGCAGAAATGTTCAAATTTTTTGATTAAAACATCCAGTTTGTCTACATCACCTGCAGCGAATGCAAACGTGTTGTAGATTTCTCTTCCCTCCTGACCTATCACATATAGAAGAGCTTTACACTTTTCTTTTTCACTTTTGTCACTGAGGGCTACATCCATGTATAGATTCATAGTTTGTTTCCATTTTTCTGCTAGGTTTCCTTCGTGAGAGAAGTCCATTTCCGGAGGTTGCTTGAAATGACCTTCTGCCATGGTTAATTTCTCTCCACCGAATAAAAGATGAAACATTCACAATATATTTTTTTTTCACTATTTTTAACAGTCACTTCTGACACCATGTTATATTCCTTCTAATACATAAGGAAGTCTATAATTCTTTGTTGATAATCTTTATCTAAGTAAACACATATTAAACATATAACAGAATACAAGCGACTACTGAACATCAAGAAAAACACTTAAGATAAAGTCACTGAAGCACGTGTAGAGTAATGTCCATCATCACGTTTAGGCGGAGCTTACAGTTATAGGATTAAGTTAAGATAAGCAATGTCTGATCACTACATAGAAGGGATATTTTAACATATGAATTATAATCTATTATAAATTTTGAAATGTTTCAGGACTAGTTATTGGGAAAAAAATTAATAAAGGCGTTAGCAATGTATAGTTATGTGGGTTGTTCGAAAGATGGTAACGCAAACTAACTGTAGAGTTACACTAAGTTGAAAGAATAAATAAATCTTGTTAAGCATCATCGGGAATAGGGTCTAATTCTTTCTACGAGGACAAAAATAACTCACTGTGTGTTACTTGATACGGGTATTCTTGGTATTCTTGGCAACATTGAGATGCGTTGAATTTCAATTATATATTCATTAGAATTTAATCACACTGATTTTGGCTTAAGTTTTCAGTAAATGCACTCCCTTGGATTTCATTTAGGACTTTATAATTTGAACACATTAATGACAAGTTTTAGTATATCCACAGATAAATAGCTTAAATATAAAGAATAGAATTTCATATATAGTAGACATTACCTTTATGCATAAAGAGAAGTAAAGACAAATATCAACTATTATATTTGGAGATAATAAACTCAAAAAAATCAATAAAAAGGTGTAATAGGAGTAATGTCTCAGAACACCATTGTCATTAGTGGTTCTAGAATATTTTCAACACTCTCCTATTTTCAAATAAATATAATTTCCCAGGTTCTTATTTTGATTTGAGATTCTGCTTTGTCTTATTTCCGAACCTGTTTGTACCTTATTTCAACACCTCGTGTCAACTGCAATGAACACCAGTTTCAATAACAAAATTTATTTAACCTTTGTATAGACAAACAAAAAAATGGTATATAAAAAAAAAATAACAACTGTAAATTTCTGCCTGGTAAAAAAATAAACCCTAATTTTGAAACCCAGCAAAAATCACCCCCAACCTAGCGTACGGAAACGCTAGCCCAACCTAGCCGGGGGAAAAGGCCTAGGGAAATTAAAACCCCTTATTTACATTTATTTATCGAAAACCTAACTTCTAACTTTTAGTTTTATGGCCTAATAAAATTAACAGGGTCAAAAGACGACGACAATTTTTTTACAAATACCTAATAATATCTTAACCCCTTAACTTCCGTACCGGTCAAATTGACCTGTGGCGCGTTAAAACACGACTTCGCGAAAATAAGATCTCCGTATCTATTTTATGGTAGCACGAAGGTATATAAACTATATATCATCTTTTTGGAAATTTTCTCTACTTTTAAAATATCTAAAAAGATTTTGTCTTTATTGCCGGTATATAATCGATTTTACGTTGTGAAGACAAACGTGACTTTTTGATAATGGCGTAATTTTCCAAAGCAATTGCCCATTTTCCAAACGATTGACATTTTTTTCCTGATTAACTTTATAAAAAAAAGTATGGTATATTCTTAAAGCATATTTCCAATGCTTTTAAAATATGTAAAAATTATTGTTATTACTTTAAAGTATGTTTTAAAAATAAGAATTTTCTTGCAGTAATGTGTTTTTTCTCGATTTTATTCGTAATGTTTAAACAAAGCTCAGTTTTACGTTTATTTCTGTATTGAAATAGGGAAAACAAAATAAAGCTGGTAAAAGTAGAGAAAATTTCCTTTCCAACAAGCCTTTACAGGCCTTCTTACGCTCAGTATTTTCTTAATTACGATAATTTGAATTTGTGACCTTCGCCTAGTTTTTATGGAAAAATCAGTCAATATTTACATGTAACGTCAAGGTCGATATTGTTGCGTCTAACTCGAAACAACAAATTCTTTTATAAGACTTTTTTGACCATTTAGATATATTTTTTACTTAAATAAATTCATTATACAAAAAAATAGATTTCAAAAAACAAATAAATACTATTGTTCTGCCTTTTGTGAATAAGAAAATAATGTTAATTTATTCATCTAACGTTACATGTAATGATGTAGGTATATATTTCATGTAGTGGTATAACGTTACAATGTTGATTCCCTAATCGTCGATCTTTACTAAAAAAAATCAGATTTTTAATATTGTTGTATCTTATTATACTGTATACTTAATTTGCAATTTAGTTAGATCAGTTCACAATACAAAAACTCGCATTTATAAATAAATACGACTCATCACTGTATGAGTTGATACGAATTGAAATAACCACGTGTTTCCGATGTGGTGTAAACATGATGGTGATCCGAAATCCAAACGTCATTTTTCATGATTATTTCACGACGAAGATCATCACATCAATGAATCAAATAATACGGACATGCCTTTGGTATTAGCAGGTGAGAATACGTGTACATTGACTGGATAGTTTTAAGTTTAAAACGCATTAGTTCACGTTCAAAAGAAAATACTAGATCTTCCTTCATGTTTCAGTGTGCGTATATCGTATTGTTCAACCAATTTTGTGTTGCTTTTGAACGTTGATGTTTTTGACAATCACTCGGAAGTTCAAAGTAAAATCAAAGTTGCAATAATAATGGGTAGTTGTTTTCAGTATGTGTGTACCAGTGTGTACATGTACGACTTTCACATTGAATTTTTAGGGTGCAGCCTGCAGGCAACATATGCAACAATACTTTCATCTGTGAATACCCACTTGCTAAGCCCACCATGAACTACAAAGGCCGAGTAATATGTAAGGACACCAATGAACAGGTAAATTTTTGTTTTGGTGTTGAAAATTTCTGTATGTTCTAAAATTTCAAAAAATAAAGTCAAATTTCATTTGTGTCATTCTCATGATATTGCATTCATACAAGTTTATAAACATTTGATTTATATTTTGAAAAATAAGTGTTTGAAACACATAATACAGTGTACTCATGATGCTTGATTATTCAAACAAACACATTATTTAAACATGTAATATCTATTTGAATGAATGCCGAGATATGGAACAAGCTGTTTTTATAGACTTATGTTATATTTCAAATCTGCATAAAGTATGTGGTTAGAATTTCCATTTTCTCAATTTTTTAGACTTTTCCAATCATCATACATCATATACATGGGTGGTCAAACTCATTGGATGGTTTATCAACAATCCCATTCTCACGAACAGCCTTGCCCAAGAAATATTGCCCTGAAGTAACATTTGCAGTCAGTTTCCTCCCTTCTTTATACAACCTTGGCAGCCATGCAGGTATGCAATCTATGAAAGCCATATAGGGACAAAATTTTTTTTTAAAAAATAATAAAAGTAAACCAAGTTCTTGATTTATGCAATCCGGTCTCTCGGATTGACAATCTGTTATAACAGATTGCCAATTCATTCTCACAGATTATCAATTTGTTCCCTCAAATTACACAATACGCTATCTCAGATTGTATAATTCATTCTCCTAGTTTAAACGATACGTTCCCTCAGAATGTAAACCCTTCCCATGATTTCACATGTTTCATTAAAATTATTTATCCGTACATATCGGATATGGTAATACATGTTTAAAGAATAGAATATTGTACATGTAGTATTTTACATCCTACCTTTTATTACATATAACGGTCCAAAATGAGAAAAATGCATGAATATTTTCAAATTCATATGCTTATACTGATATTTGTACAACAAAAAATCTTTTGGGTTATTGTGTTACGTGTATATTAGAATAATTAAAAGTCTGCAATAGTAAAAGTGAATATGGGTCCTGTGTAATATATTTCTAAAATAAATATACGATGAATTAATTATGAAAGAGGTTAGTAACAACCGGTTGCTGAAACAAAAATAACAGAACGCACTAATTGATTAAAATGGTTGGATTTATCTGTACATATATGTAATGAAATTCAAGAGCACAGATTGCCAAAATCATGAGACTGACGTTGTAACAAATCGAGTTCTCGTATTATTAATCTGTGAAAAAAAATTATCGTTATGTAATTTGAGATCTCAAATTATGAATTTAAGGGGGAAACTTAGTAATCAGTAAGATCAGATTGTGTAATTTGAGATCTCGAATTATGAATAGAGGGAACGATTTCAAATTAGTAATCCATGGGATTGGATTGTCTAATTCTGAGATCTCATTTCTTACTTTTTTGACAAATTGACGTGTCCCTTCATGGCTTTCGTAGCATAATTAAAATTAGATCTTCCATCCACTGTCAGGTTTTTTATATGTTGCAATAGCATAACAGAGGTCTGGCTTTAGTTAGATTGCCAAATATGCTATTTGTTTTAGTTCAGTAGTTACCATGATGGTTTACTACAAGGTTGTTAAATTAACAGTCCTGATACATTGACTTAGCAATATCATTTAACTACTTGAATCACATTATACAATTTTAATTTTAAAAGGAAAATCAAATAAATGTAGTAATTTCAGCACTCTTAATTTTATTTATAAATGTAAATTCATATACACAATGACATGTATCTGTTTCAAAATATTTAAATCTTTTACAGGATAGAAGCGGATCACTTGTACTTGACAGCAAATAATAATGTCTTGGACAAGTCAAAGAACTTCCTCCAGTCTTACAGAGAAATGACAGTTGATAAAAGAATGGTGGACACAAAGTAAAAGTGCTCTTCAACATTTTGTTGAAGATTTCAGTCTGATTAAAAATGCATCTTGCAATATTTCTGGATTTGTATATTTGGATATAAGCGTCAATTTTTCAACTTATTGACTAAACATTTTTGGGTTAAATATTGCCAATGCTATCTATTATTTTTATTTCTCTCCAAGATAATGTCAAGTCTATATTGTACCCCTTAAACTCTGTTATACCAGAAAAATCTTGTAATGAAATCATTTAGTTTTTCTTGTTAGATTAAATTCATGAAAATAAAGATTATTTCTAGTGGCATCAAGAGAATGAATTTTTTGTTCAACAAAAATTTTGTATACATGTTTTGCTAGGGGTTTGTAAGAAGCAGACCAGAATTCTTTGCTTGCAAATTTTGTCATTCACCATTTTTATTATGTCAGCTATTAGGTGATTTATCCATGTTTGAAGCATTTCAAAATTGATATTTACTTACAGTTTAAAGCAGAATTCTGTACTGATATGACCTTGACCCACTGAAGAACATGAGTGTCAAGGTCAATTTTTAATACAAAAATGTTCTTTCAACTTTATGGCCCATATATATCTTACAAACAATTTCATGAAATATACAAAAAGTGTCTAGAATGTGTCCAGAATGTGAAATAACAAACATGTATATAGCTAAAAACTTTAAAATGATGTTGCTTAGCAACCACTTACAGGTCATTAAACAGATATTTGAACTAAAATGATGCATGGATATTGCAGTTCTAATCCCTTCTTGAATAGTATATTCAGAATTTTCAATTTCAGCATCCATTGTGTAAAATTATGGCAAGAATATTGAAAAGTGTTGAAAAAAAAATGATGAAACTTTTGCACTTATTTGACCTTTGACCTCCTAAAAATAGTTCTAATGAGGTCAAACTTTAAGACAATTTATCTGTTGTATGTCCCTTGTAATTTTATGACCTCACATCTAACTTTCATATGTGCTGGGATGCATAAATGTGTCTAGGATGAGTGAAAAATGAAAATTTCTGCCCGAAAATTAAAGAATTCTGCGTTGCTTAGCTACCCCTTTTAAGTAGTTGTATGCAGAATTGAAAAAAAAGTTTATGTGTTTCATGTAGTCCAGTATAATGCTCTTTTGTGGGTATATCCTAAATTTCCTATTTCAACATGCATCATACTTAATATTTAGCTTAAAGATGAAAAAGTATCAAAAAATCCCATAAAATTTTGCACTTAATTGACCTTTGACCTCAATTTTTGACTAATAAGGTCAGTGGTTGAGTATAAAATATCATCTGTAAGAAATTTCCTACAAAATGGTATGCATTATGCCTAGCTTTCCCCTTGGATAAAAAAGTTAGAAATAATTTAATAATGCCATGTCAAAAGGCCTCCAAAATCACGTAAAATACGCCGGAAGAGAAAGGGTTAACATAAATTCTAAGGGTGCAACCTGTTAAATACCACTAAACCTCTATAAAAAGTGAGTAACTTACAGCAAATCAATGCTTTTCAAGATTCTCAACTAAACTAGCAGTTACACAGGTTTTTATACTTTTTGGAAACAATAGAAAATTCAACTTAGAATCTTAGTGGATGCACACGAAGGGTATGAACTATGACTGATATTGGTAACACCCAAAAGGTTTTCCGTATTGATAGCCAATCAAAATTTAGATAAACATTAGCCCAAAAGATTTGATGGAAGCAACACGTGCTTTTCCCTGAGAAGGTTCGTAAACATGCTAAATATAAACAAATGAATTAGGTATAAGGCACTATACACATATAGGTATGAAAACATTGATAATAACATATTATTACTAAAATACAAGGCATATATGCTTATAACAAAATCCATTCCTGCTACACCCCCCCCCCCCTCTTAAGAACTAAATGATCATGTCATTTATTCAAAATTATAATATACCTATAGCATGAATGAATGAAAAAAAAGTCAATTAAACAACAAAGGTAATATAAAATTTCAAAAAAATATCAGAATAACATCAACTTTATAATGTTCATAATTTTGTCACTGTCTTTTTACTGGTTGGACCCTACAGGCGTCCGGTCACCACAAAAGTACCCCCTCTGCAATGATGTCTTGATCTCTGGAGTTGGTTCCTGACCTCACGAGGGTGTTCCCTGCTGTAACTCGGCTGGCCCTCCTCAAGTTAGCCAGTTGATCCCGGTATCTTCTCCTGGCTGCCGAGATTGGGGCCAGGGGCATGGTTCCCTGCCCGGGATCCTTGAATTTGATATTCCTGACGTGCTGTCCTAGCGGAATTGTGCTGTTCCCATGCATGAAACGGGCATGCCGACGCACCTGGTTTTTCCGTCTGCTGGCATACCTGCAGTTTTCCACTCCACATTGGAAGATTTCAATATATGCTTCATGAATCTCCTTACAGTGTCCCTTGAAGGATTTGTAGGTGTTCAGCCAGACTTCACAGTTGTCTGCTGGGCAGATCATTCCACCTTCCTGCCACGCCGGTCGGATGTCGCCATCTAGTTCATCCATCTATTCCTGCGTCACTAATAACTCCAAAACGTCCATTTAGCGATCCTGAAAAATAGTTGTACGACAAATATTACAAAATTTCCATTTTGAAAAATAGTCACTTACAACAATGATACACTCATTTCCATTATTGGTTGTTGGTAAACCCCCTAAAAATCTATTGCAATTCGGTCTAATGGTTTTGTAGATTGAAGTAGAGAAGACTGAAGTGGAGATTTTCCAAACCCTGGACCTGGTTTTCTATGCGTACAAAGATCACATGATTAACATCATAATTTAACATCAATTGACAAGCAATGCCAATAGAACCTTCTTTTGACAGATATTGTATGTTTTACCCCTCCCTAAATGACTTGAAACTCTTGAATTGTGTAGGGATTCTAAAATCTTTTCTCTCATAATTTTAGGGCAAATTGATATCATTGATATGGTGGCCATCTCAAAAGGCCCCGCATTGAACAAAAAATCATTCAAGTGTAACGAGCGCATTGGGGTATACATCGTTACAATGAGAGAAGGTATCTGAAAGAAATATGGCGGAATACGGCTCTAGTTGGTATGAAACAAGTCGTACATAGATGAAAATTTTGCGTTTTTAAAAATTCATGTCAGCTTTAATCATTATGTTTTGATTAGGTTGCTGTTGAGGTCAAGATTCTGTCGGCAAGACCAGTATCAGTACAAATAGTCAGAGAACTTCCTATTTAAAAGCAAGAAGTGATCGTTAGAGATAGCTCTGCAACAATGAAATTAACACTTTGGGATGACATGGTAACAAAGCTAGAAATTGGCAAAAGTTACAGATTGAATCAACTCTCAACCCGTCCGTTTCAAATTGTAAAAACTATTACGGGTAGGAAAGCTACAAGCATTGTAAGCATTGATGATTTGGTAAATTGTTTACAGGCACCTGAAAATAATGATCTCATTGAAAATGAGAGAAAAATAACCCAAGTGGGTTTAGTGATGCACTTTTCGTGTGAAATGTGTAAGGGAAAAGTTGTCCTGCCAGATGATGATTCTAAATTCATCA